TGCCTTTCCTTTAACAGCTTCTGTTGCAAGTGTATACTGGTAACTGTTCTTCAGGTGGAAATGAAAACCACAGAGTTCAGAGCCATGCAAAAGTAGAGGTCATAGCTGCTCTGATGCTCTTTAGAGATCTTAACAGTGGAATCTGCATGCACAAAAGGACCGCACAGATGTGAAACAATGAGTGAGAAATGCAGAAGTGAAACTACTGCCTTAGTGGGCACCATGAAATTAAAAATTATTTACACAAAATTTGTACCAGTACCATGCATTCTGCAATAGAACCATATCAGAGAACATTAAATAAAGGTCATTAAAGACTTCTGGATGTGCAACACACAAGCGTTTGCCAAGAAGATGTAATTTCTACTTCAGCTTCCTTTGTGTATGCAGGCTTAGAATGCTGATGTTTCGCATTCAGTTGTAAGGACCAGAGAGTTTAAGGAGCTCTTTGGAGAATTACTTTGGTCCATTAATCTGCACCTTTGGAGGTTTTTTTTTGTTAGAAAGCTGCACCTTGGCAAGAAGCTCGGGAAAACCACTGTAGCCCAAGTTGTACATTGTGACAGGAAGGATGAGCTAACATTCTCCTGTCATTTGCACAAGCAGAAGAGCAGACAGCCTGCTTCTCAGCAGCGCCTTCTGCCTGCCCAAAACAGTTTCTGGCAAACTGATTTTCTTTTATTTCTGACAGGTTTCGGGTGAAGCAGCCACCTCCGCACACAGGACTGAGAGTGATGTACACACCAGGACCTGTAGGTTTCACAGAATATCTTTTGGGTTTTGCTAGACTCAGCTGACCTTTGGGCCATCTAGGGGCCCCTCTCACACCAGCTGCCTGGGAATAGAGCTGGCAGGGTACACGATTTGTTTTATTTGAAGTGATGCTGCCTTCCACTGTAGCTCAGCTGCCTTCAACCAAGCACACTGCATGCTCTAAGTCTCAGAGCCTGCACCAGAATGCAGAGGGATAAACATGTGAAGTTCAGTGGAAAGCAGCAGATTGAGCACTGAGGTTAGAGAGAGCTTTTTTGAAGCAAACAGGATATGCTACCACTGCCTCTGAATTTTCCCATAATTCAGGATATTGCTCATCCACCAAACGGTCCATGCATCAGAACTGTATCTCTTCCATTTAGAGAGAAGGATGTTGTGAGGGAGCATATCAAAGGCCTTACTGAAATCCATATAGATGGCTGGAACAATTTCCAGTCTATTTTCCCCTCCACATATTGATCCCTTTTGTATCTTCCTTCTCTCACTACTTCTATGCTCTTTTTAAAATAGAATAGAATATTATATTTCAGTTGCAAGGGACCTACAGTGATTGTCTAGTCCAACTGCCTGACAACTTCAGGGTTGACCAAAAGCTAAAGCATGGTATTAGGGGCATTGTCCAAATGGCTCTTAAATACTTGCAGCCTTGGGATATCAACTACCTCTCTTTTTTATTCTCACCCAGCTGTCCTAGTTCACCCTTTCCCTCTAGAACCTAAAAGAAAATTTAAGGGGAAAAAATGCAAACACATGGTACTTTTCTTTCAAACTGTAATGTGAAGAGACAGTTTTGTACAGAGCTTTCCAGTGAAACATACTGGGTAACTGGCAAACACAATCCTGTGTGCTAGGCACTAAGTCTTTAATTTCATCAGTCAATGCAGGAAAAAACCAGCTCCAAGGACTGCTGGAAGGGTCTATGTATGAAACATGCACCTTATCTGTGTGTAATTCTGTCTCTCCTAGGTGGCTGCAGGCTTGCAGGTTGAGCTGGAGATAGAGATTTTTGCCATGGTAATAGGAGGGGAAGATACTGGTGGCCTCGAAGAAGTTTCCCATGATATTGAAATATTAACAGAAACAGAGACTCTTCTCCTGCCAGTGAGAGCAAATATCCTTTGTTGTCTTACTTCCAACACACACCATCTAGCATCAACCCTGGGGACCATCCACGTGTCAGGAGCCTTGGCACAGTTTCCAGTGCAGGAAATAGGAGGTAGCAAGCTTCACTATCCTTTTCAGAAACACACAAAAGGGCGTTTTCAAAAGCACAACAAATGAACAATTTAAGATTCTGACCCCAAAATCAACTCACATCAGAGTAACAAGGTTTTGGAACCCTGGGGAAAGGAAGAATGGAAAGCTCAGAAAGACATGGCTTTTAAAAATAAATAAAAATAATAGGAACTCTTTCCTACCACCCCCAATGGAAATGCTTTATAATATTTTTAAACCTATGGTAGCATCTCATGGTACAGCCTTATAAGCAACAAAAACATTTATCATCCTGGATACTAAACAGACAAGTGAGACAATCCCTGTGTCAGCCGAGTCACAAGCACAGAAGTGCATGAATGGTGTCAGAAATCAGCCCAGTGTGGGTTCAGTGTTTTTTTCAGTTGTTTAATTGAGGACAGAGGTAGAGCAAATGAAAACAGCAAACTCAAGAACTATTATTTCTCTTTCCCAAGTGCTCTAGAAACTATAATTATTTTTTAGATGAAATTACAAGCTCATTTTTTAAGGGCAAGTTCAGAAGAAAGGGTGAAGTTCTGTTTGACTTTTAATCCAATTTAAATGTAAAAGCCTAGGAGAAGAGGTCTTCTGGAAACCTATAAAAGAAATAGCAAGGCAAAGTGCATCCAAACACGCCAAAAACTCCACTCCTGGTAAGGGCCACCCTGACCAAAGAAAGGAGAACTTTAGGGTCCTCTGAGGATGACTAGAGTACTAGCTAACAGCAACTCCATTGAGGCTTTATATGCTCTGGAAGTGACATTGAAACGTCTCAAATTTACTTTATAGTTACCCAAAGTCTTTTATGCCCATCATTGCAAAGTTGAGCTAAGCAGGACTGGTGGCATAGCAGCAAAATCAGCTCCTGCTCTGTTCCTACTCACCCAGTCCTCAGACACACAATTGCAGAACAGCCTCCAAAACATGTGCCCTTCCCCAGTATTTTAGCAGGTCTTTAATATTTGAGCTTGTGATGAAAAGAGACTCTACTGCAGAGTCCAAATTTCACAGTTTATTTGAACAACATGTGCAGATACAGTGTGTCACTATTGCAGGTTCTATGGATACAATGGAGAATGCACTATTGCAGTTTTAAAAGCAAGACTACACTATGTACAACCACAAGACATTCACAAAATGCACTGTTGTAACTACAACAGTCACAAAATGCAGTGTTACAGCCCACAGGCAATTCACGACAGGCCGCAGACCACTGACAAAACTCACTGTCCATAAGGAATTATGTATTATGAATTACCCGGGTAACTACAGACCGGTCAGCCTC